GCCCACCATTTTGATACGATGACCCTCCGTGAACCCACCTGGCTCATGGACACCGGCGCCACTCATCACATTGCTTCAGACCCAGGTACTATTTCTCATGTTTATTCACAAAGCTTAAATTCTCTACATTTTATCATTGTGGGTAATGGATCAAAAGTAAGCACTACGTCTATTGGTAAACACACCTTCCCCACCTCCCCACCCCTTTCCCTTAACAATGTCCTTGTTTCCCCTCATATTATTCATAACCTTATCTCCGTTCGTCAGTTCACTCGTGGCAATAATTGTACTGTTGAATTTGACTCTCACGGTTTTTCTGTGAAGAATTCTCTGACGGGAACCGTGATTCAACGTTGCAATAATGAAGGTCCTTTCTATCCTCTGCGCACACACGACTCCACCGCTCAAGCCCACGTTGCTTCTGCCTCAGCCCAAACGTGGCATCAACGTCTTGGTCACCCCAGTCCTGCAGTTCTAGATAGTGTTCCTTATTTATCTTCGTTTTCTTTTAATAAACAACTTCAGCATAATTTATGTCATGCTTGTCAATTAGGGAAGCATGTTCGTCTTCCTTTTACTTCTTCCGCTAGACTTTCCTATTTCCCTTTTCAATTAATGCATACTGATTTATGGCAATCGCCTGTTTTTAGTATAACTGGTTTTAAATTTTATACGCTACTTCTAGATGATTATTCTCACTATTTATGGGTTTTTCCTCTTCGACATAAATCTGATGCTTTTTCTCACTTAACTAATTTTTTTGCTTATGTAAAGAACCAATTTAACACAACAATTAAATCTGTACAATGTGACAACGCAAAACCAAAGGACTTACGTTCAAACATTATGATCCGTTTTAGTGAGAATTCCACGTCCTTCAACCCGAGAGGCCTGAATAACTTCAGACCCAAGGTTTCCGCAAACCAAATCCCACTCCGTCCAACCCAACCCTAAACATCCAAAACTCCTTGCCATTTAATTCATTTCAAAATAAAGCTTTTCCTACTCTTATTTTAGCCCTAGGAGAAAATAAGAGTGTGTAAAATAAAACCTTTTGTTTGTTGTTATTTTCCTTCTTTTAAGCCTTTTATTAAACAAATAAAACCCTCCCTTTATTCCATTCATCCCCTGGACAAAATACACTTTACAACCCCAACACAACACCCAAAAAGAGCCAAAATCCTGACCCACCACAAACCACTAATCCCTGCCCATGTTCCCCCACAAATAACCCAAACCCATATGTCCATAACCACCCCTAATATTGCACAGCCATGTCCCCTTTTATTGACCAAACACAACCCCTCATTTTTACCCAAATAATAGCCTTAAAACCACAATGAGTACATTGGTATGCATTTGGCGCGGTGCGAGGAGCAGCGAATGCCATAGCATCAGTATGATCATCACCAGCACTCACCTCTTTTTGATGGTGTTCCTCTCGAGTCACCAAATAAAAGGATTTGTTCAACTCTGCTAGAGGTTGTGTACCGAGAATATGACCCTAAATGGTACCAAATTGTTCGTCATCAAGTCCATACAAAAACTTTCTTTTTTTTGCCCTTCTCGGTTTTTACCCACAATTTTGTTGCCATCCACCTCAC